GCAGGATGCGGACGCGTGGAAAACCCCCATTTGTGGGACTCCGAGTGAGTTCCCCGCTCGCCGGGCCTGTTCGCCTCCCCGGTGAAGCGGCGGCCGGGCGGTCCGCAGGGTCCCCGACAGCAACGCCCTTCATGATTCTTAGCGACCTCGAGCCGCGCTGCAGTGTTTCCAAACTTCCTCTCCTCCGCCTCATCCAAAACCAAAAAAAGCGATTCCTACCACTGTCAACAATATTACGGTCACAAGATCAATGAGCTGCAGCACAAGATTAAAATGTTTTATATCCAAAGGGCAATTTTTCACAGCGGTGTCAGACAGAAAGTCCCCGTCGGTGTTTACACTGGGCCTCGCCGAGAAATTCCAGACATGAAGCTTCTGGAACTTAGGCTTGAACTCAGGGGACCTCCCCCCCGAACAGGCTGCAAGGGCTCCTTCCTTAGCAAGAACTCCCGTCCAGCAGGGATCCGAGTCCCCCAGCGCCAGCCGCGGCCCAGTGAGCCCCCGGCCGCCTGAACGCCATGCTGGGTGAAGGTTTCCTGAAGCAGCACCGTCTTTTTTGTTGTTAACTCTCACCTGAGGATATTCTTTCCTTCGATTTCTAGAGAGAGTAGAAGGGGGGTGGACAGAGACAGCAGGACCGCTGTGAGACAGACACATCAGCTGGGTGCCTCCCCCACGTGGCCCCGCCGGGGCCGGGGCTCTAACCTGCAACCCAGGTATGTGCACTTGACCGGGAATCGAACCCGACACCCTTCGGTCCTGACACTCTAATCACTGGGCCACACCGGCCAGGGCAAAGCAGCACTATCTTTGAATAATTCTGGAGGAAAACTATTTTGAAAGACATCGTATTTCCCTGACTTTTCCCCAGAACACAGCGAACGTAACTCAGCCTTTCCTCGGTGTGAACACCTGTCACTGTGACACCGTCCGGGCCTCCGGCCCTGGGGAGGTGCTCCAAGCCCTGACTTCGCCCCTGACGGTCAGGGATCCAGAGCTGTCACTTCTCACTGCTGTCACCTCCCTGTCAGTGTGGCCACGTGTGACCATCTCCCTGTGGTATCTACTTGGCCGAGTAAAGGCAGGGGACGTTTTCTCCATTTGTCACGGCAAACCCAGGGAAGCACAGGCCCTGCCACTTGAGGTGCTCAGCAAACACGTGTTTGTGGAAATGACGCGAGAATTAACAGAGGAGACGAGCCCGCGAAAGGCGAGGCTGAAGCGATGACACAGGCGCCGGGAGCGGGCCCGAGGGCTGCGCCCGGGACGCAGGTTTGCACGAGTCTCTGCGCCCGTTCTGACCTCAGCTGCTCCAGGGACAGTCCCCCGCCGCCGGATGCGCTCTGGCCCTTCACGGGAGGCGAAAGATAACAGAGGCAGGCAAACAAGCCCACACAGAGCGGTTCCATCATTGGCCCGTTATGTACAATTCAGCGCCATCAAGTCATTTTTTTCTGGCACGCTGACCTGCTCGCCTGAAGACCGAGGGGTGGCTGGCACCCTCCCGTCTTTTAGGGAGCGGCTCGATCGGGCCTGTGGGTCTCGGGGGAATTACTGAACCCCTTTCAATTTCAGTTTTCCTATTTGAAAACAGGAAGGACAGGGCTCTTCAAACAATGAAATTATTCATTTTTAAAGCGCTCACCCCAGGCCCTGACCTACTGTTCTGTAAGACGCCGTCCGTGCCTGGAGCCGGGACCGTGGCGCCCACCCCGTGCAGGGCCAGGCCACGGGGCCACAGGCTTTCTCTCTGGTGTCTGCTGCCTGGCAGATGCCACTCAGCCTCAGGACTGGTCCTGTAGAACCAACGGTGGCACTTCTGTGGGAATAGGGTCTAAGCCCCCCAGTCTCTGCCTTACAGAGATGGGCACACCCATCCCACTAGCACCCCCAAGAACGGGACTTCCACGTGGGCAGCGTAAGGGAGGAAGGAAACGGGGCCTAAAGGCGGCTGACAACCCAAGTCCTCACAATCTGTCCTAAGTGTCGGTAACTGCAGCTGCAAAGGTGAGACCTTCTCGTATCAATGCCAGTTATCACAGAATTAAAACAGTCACTGTCAAAAACAAAAAAGAGAGCCTCAAATTTGTATGCAACTAACGGATTACCCACAAAACTGGATTTTACTTGAGGAAACACATTAATTTCTCCTCAATTTAAATATATAAATTGACAATATCCCAGCTTCTTTCTCAGTGTTTTCACAACAGAATATACTAACATGTTTCTTAATACTATAGAGAAAATAAATACTGCAAAATAAATGGGCTATCTTACAGGTAGTTACACTTGGAAATCTATAAAGAACATTCTAGAATGTGGATGGAGACAAGGGGGTGCTCTGCCAAGCTCTCCCTAAAAAGGAAGAATTCCTGCTACGTCAAGAACACACTGAACGAGATTTTATCACCTCTGCTTCCCCTTAACGAATGCCCTTTGCCAATGTTTTCCTCATGGTCTCTCTAATCTAACAATCTTCTTACTGAACTCGGACAATGTCTTTTTAGTCCTAGTTGAGTTTACCAGCTACTTGATGCCTACACCGGGTAACTCCTCAGACTGTTCTCCCTGCTAAATTCCAAGACCATTCGATAGATCTATCTGATCGTCCAGCCTCCTAGCTGGCTGCACTGTTGACTTCTGAATCTTTTCTAAGTAAGGCATCCTTGATACACAAAATAGTATACTTGTATCCCAGTAACAGTTGCACACTGAAGTTCTAAACTGACATCCATCAGCAACCTGCACAGTGCATAAGAAAANCTGAATCTTTTCTAAGTAAGGCATCCTTGATACACAAAATAGTATATACTTGTATCTCAGCTCCTTGAGAAGCCTTTAGGCTGCTCGGTAACAGTTGCACATTGAAGTTCTAAACTGACATCCATCAGCAACCTGCACAGTGCATAAGAAAATCCAGAGTAGCCCTTTTCCAAAACACTGTATCTCCTTCCAAAATACTGTTTACTGTATCAAAACACATAAACTGAGCCACAGCACGGAGCTGAAGCAGGTTCACATCAAGAGGAAGAAAAGCATTTTATCTAGGGTTTTAAAATTTGATCTGAAATCACCGTTCCTTTTTCAGCTGCCCTTCACTACCCGGGAACTCATTTACTGAAAAATGTGCATCAACAAAGCTATGGGCTGATCAAAATCAGTTTTGCAGATGACTATAAATAAAGCTTTGCAGGATTTATGCCTCGATTCTGAGACGTGTGTTCCATCGGGGAGTGAAAGAGGAAGTGGGGAGGGAGAGGGAGGGGGCCCTCAAGGGACAGGGAGCATGAGGCCTGAGGCTCCAGCGCCAGGAACTCTTGGGCCTGGATGAGACGGAGCTTTTGCTAACCATTCCTGGGCTACGGGGATGCTGAGTGTGTCCTAAGACATTCAACCATCATCCCTTATATATACATTTAAACTGGAACTTTTCATACACTAAATTGGTAAACATATACATATATTAAGACCACTTTAAAAGCCATATACAAGAGAAATTTGGCTTTCGATCCAAAACTTAGACATTTTTTATCTTAAGAGCTTTGAAAAAAAACTCAACTTCTATGAAATCAATACTTTACTATTCTACATGTATATGTCTAGTACATCGGAGAGGTCTGCAGGAGGGAAATTAGTATCCAGTCATACCAGTTGCTGAGCTATATAAACACCTGAGCTGCATGATTATAACAGTTAACGGGGTCGAGCTGTATTTACAGAGATTACACACTGCGCTTTCTCCATGTGCTGTGCCTGGCTCTCTTCCTCTAGAGGGACTAATTCCTGGTAGACCCTTCCTTTCTCCTCTGTGATTCTGTGCCAGGAATTAGTTCTTAGTGTTGGAGATACAGCAATGGAGCTAACAGACCATCATCTCCATCCCCATGGAGCTTATGTTACAGAGAGATGATTAGCCAAACAACTAAGCAGTTCAGATTAAAAACGGACAGCAGGAAAGGAATCTTGGAGAAGTTACACATTTTTAAAAGGCTGGTTTGGGAAGATGGCATTGAGAAAACATTTGAGCACAAACCTGGAGGGAACAGGCAGTGAGTGTACAGAAGTCTGGGGGGAGAGCCCTTCAAACCAAAGACCCAACACTGGATGCAGCTTTCCTTGCAAGCCAGCCTCTCTTCCTATACGTCCTCTCTGAACTGGGCCACCATCTCCCCCAGCATTAAAAAAATACATAAATAAACCTGAGATTCCTCCCTGGACTCCACTCTTTCCATACCTCTACCAACCACCTGCAGCCCAGGTCCCTTTGATCTTAGCCCCCAATTCCTCCTGTTCACTCCTGCTGAGAGGACTACTGTCACTCCCCCTGGATTTCTCCAGTGGGCATTCTCTGAGCCAGTCTTACTGCCCCCTCCAGCCCACCCTGACGCTGCCAGACATTGATACTTATGAAATGCATTGTCTCATGCCCTTCTCCAGCTTCACCATTTCCGAGGTTTCTCACTAGGGTCAAACCCACACCTTTTATTGCGGCAGGAGGGTCGCAGGTGATTAGCACACCTGCCCTGCCCTCCTCCACTGGGCTATGAACTCTCCAGGTTTCTTTTTACTATTTTCAGTAAATTTACTGACTCGAGCCACAGTTCCTCTCAAAAGTGACTCCTTACAACACTGCGCCCTCTTACACACTTCTGTAGTTTCTTTCATAATGGTGACTGTTCATGTTTGTCTTTTTGAAACCCAGCTCAGTGCTTGGTTCATAAGCACTAAAAAAAATGGATGAAATTAAATGCATTACCTTAATGACTGATGTAATATAAATATGGACAACCCATCTATAACCCCCAACCATAGGCAACAGGTTTCCTCTCTCCTGCAAACCTCAGAATCACCTCAGACATCCCTCTGCAATATGCAATTCAACAGATTCTGACCCTGAACACATAAACCCAGCCTTACTTGCTTGGAAAACCTGATTTAAAAGCACAACACTCCTTTCCCAAGTAACAGCTTCTACTTTAGAGAATTATCATATACACCACTTCATCTGTATCCTTTTATTGTTAGCAACGAAGAGAATTTCAGCTCTGGAATATATAAACTTCAGAAATCATGACTCACTTCTGTTAAAGATCATTTGAGGTTGAGAGAACTGGCCATAAGGTTTAGAAAAGAAAACTCTGGTTAGTGACAGAAAGTAAGTACAGATAAAGAAAAATCAACTTTACAAAGCTACTCTCGTGGCATCTGGGAGGAACAAGGTCCAATTTGTATATAAAGAAGCAATGAAAGTGAAATCCGGAATCAAGACTCCAGACATCACATTAGTAAAATGTTTAACATATAAATGGCTGACCAGGAACAGCAAAATGTAATTTGATATGTATCACATCTAGGGTAAGAGGAAACAAATTTGCAAGCTTCTCATTTACTGTGCCCAGTGGGGGTATCAAATCTTTCTCTACAAGGACCTGACGGTAAGTGGAAAGTTACAGTACAACACTGCATTATTCTGAGGTGTGTTACTGCTGGTGTTTCCATTTGTCACATGATCTTTCCTTACTCAGGAACAGCAGCTGGAATTAGACTGATGAGCACAATTTCCAAACAATTTGGGTTCATTTTGCTCTTTAGAGAAGAGTAACAAATAATTACTAGAATTAATTTTTATTTTATACGCTCCTATCACTATTTTGACATTTCTACCTATGCATCTAGGAAGGTTTAAATTCTTGGTAATGGTATAAAATGTATCTTTTTAAAAATAGGAATTCTTAAAGCTAGTTTAAATACTTTATAGACATAAAAACATGCTTTCTTTTAAAGTTTTATAGACCGTTATGCACAGCAATCAAGTGGAGATGTCCTAAAATAGATTGCAGCTCAGCAGGTCGGGTGGGGTAGACCTGGATTCCAATTTCTGGAAGTCTCTCAGGAGGTGCTACTGGCCCAGGGATTACACCTGAATAGCAAGGCCTGAATCAGTGGTTCTCGGCCTTGATGCCTACTGGAATCACCTGGAGAGCTTTTAAAAAACCAAAACAGCATTTCTAGGGGTGAAAGGCTAGAGAGTCCAAGGTCCAATCTGGTTATTGAGTTTTCAAAACTCCCAAGCAGCTAAATTTGAGAACCTATGGCCTAAAGTGGGTTGGTCAGATTATCCTAGGCTTTCTTCCCCCTGGGTTCTGTGACTGGAGATTACAGAGCTAAGAAGGACCAGTACTGCACAGATAGAGCAACAGATGCCCCAAATCTCCAGATTCTTTCTGAGAATAGGGTTCATTGTCAATTGAGTTCTAAAGTTAATAACCTTGGTGGCTTTGTTTATACACTCCTACCAAGTTATTTAATAACATACTTTTAATACATTTTAAAGTTAAATATTCATGGAATTACAATGAAATGATAATCTGACTTATTTTTATATTAGGATGTAGACATGTAAATATGTGACTTTAAAGCATTTGGAGGTATCTATTCCTAATTACAAATAAAATGTTCTGATTAGTTGGGAAGTTTATAAAAAATAATCCCCAAAACCTGTTACACCAGCAGAAAGACCCAGCCTCTGATAATCAAAGGTTTACTTAGTATCCATCTGTACTTGAAGTAGGCACCACTGCCCCTGATCCTGGAGTTACAAACAAACTATCACTCTTTCTTCGTAAGGCTTTTCCTAATTATTGCTAAGATGTGGATTATAAAAGGTCAAGCTGCAATCGAGCTGCATTTCCATTCCAAGAGTCCCTCCTTAATGCTCAAAAAAACTTCATAAAATAGGCTGTAGAGAAAGTCCAGTAACAACATGAAAACACACAGAAACAGCATTAAGTGTAACTATGACAGGCCAAAAAATAAATACACAGTGTGGCAGTGCAAAGAAAGGGTCCAGCCTGGGGACTCCTTCCAGCTTTGCCACTAATTAGTCCTCTAACAGCAAATCCCTCTAACAGCAAATCACACACGGTAGTCTCACTGTAAAAATAAGGGCACCACAGATAGATGACCTTGACAATCCCAAGCAGATCAAAGATCTATGATCTAAAAAGAACTAGTTAGGAGGTCCTCTGATGCAAATATGATTAATTCAAGGAAACCCAAGAGTTTCATTTTTACATGATTGGTTTAACAAGTCTCTTAAGGAAAAAAACATTTTAAACTTGTCTCCAAAAATAGTCTGCTATTTGGCTATCATTTAAAATAGCAAATTTTTTTTTTAAAGGAGTGTAAGGCAAGTGGGGAGAAAGGAATCATAAACACAGTGCAAGAACACTATGCAGAAATCAAACAATGTAAACCGAGGATGGTGAAACAGTAAATGCTTTTCCTAAGGAAAACTACTTGAAAGCATGAACTATGGGATTTTATGATCTAGCCCCCAAAATAGATCTAGGGATTCTTATTAAATACACAGAATGTTTCTAAGTACTGCAAACAACTCATAATTCCTAGATAAAATTATCCTAATTAATAAAAATGGTAGCACATGGGCATTATTTCCCTTTAATTTATTGTTTAGTTTTAAACACGTCCTGCCAGCCACAGACTACCTAGTGTGACCGGTCCCTGTAAGAATCACAACGTGCTGCTCTCTCCGCCACACGGATGCTGAGGAAAGGTAGCAATCAAGGAGGCACACGGCTGTCTCAGTTGTAAGCTCCCGTCGCTAATCTTCTTCAGAACTGGAGTCATCCTCTTGGTCGGAGAGTTCGGGCACCGGGAAGCGGAGAATGGCAGCCACTCCGGTGAGCTGGCTGAGCTGTTCCCCGGAGACGTGCAGGCTGGAGAATATCCTGACGGTGCCCGCATTCTCCTTCACGCTGTCCACCAGCCGCACGTACCGGCTCCGGGTGGCCACGTCCTGATGCCGGAAGAGCTCGTCGCTGATGAGCAGCGTGTCGATGGCCATGGCCTCGTTGGCCTTCTCCACCTGCTTGAGCCCATAGAAGGCTCGGTCGGGTTCGTGCTGTAACATTTTATAGAAGTCGTCCAAGGCTTTCACCTCCCCAGCGGCTTTGGTGTCCGAAAGGCGGCTGGCCACCGTTGGGTCGCAAAGGGCCTCCTTCAGGGAGTACTTGTGTCCGGACGAGGCGTGCACCTGGAACCACAACACAAAGGTTAGGTGGAGGAACCTCTCAGAGCTCCCGTTACTGTTAACCAGCCCCCAAGGACCTACAGCCGAAAGCACTACGAGGCTTTCTGTGCTGAAGGGCTGGAGCCACAGTTACTGTATGAATCTGCTACTATGTAACAATCTCACGCTCTCAGTAACACTCCCAGTCCCATGAGGCCTCTCTCCCCTTCGGGAACCGTCTCTGCAACCCCCTCTGCCCATCCTTAGCCCTCACCGTGGTGGGGCCGTGGGGGAGGCGTTTTACCTGCAGGAACTTGGGCCGGTTTTCCAGGAGCACCTTGTTGTCCGTCTTCACGGCCTGCTGGAACATGTAGTCGCAGAACTGCTCCCGCACGAAGCCCGGGCTGGCCACCAGGATGCACTTGACCACGTCGAAGTGGATGTGGCGCTGGATGGCCTGCACCACCTGCTCGTAGAAGCGCTCCAGGGCGCGGTCGTGCTGCGCGCAGTTGCCCCTGCGCTTCCGCGGGATGTTCACCTCCACCTTGGCGCGCGTGAGGGTCATGCTGGGCGTGACCAGGCAGACGTGCGCCAGGCCCTCCTGCATGACCACGGCCGCCACGTCGGCGCTCCAGGCGGGGTCGCAGGCCTGCTCGATGCGCTCCAGCACCACGCTGTCCCACTGCTTCTTGGCCAGCGTGAACTGGCGGTTGGGCTCCAGCTCGATGGTGTGGTAGGCGCCCATCTTCACGTACTCGTTCTCCTGGATGTTGGTGCCCTTCACCCGCAGCTGGCAGGCCTGCGAGTCGAAGTCGATGGCCTCCACGCACAGGGTGAGCGTGGTGCGCACGCGGCTGCTGCCCACGCTGCCCGTGGAGGACTCGGTCTGCACCTTGCGGATGGTGGAGGCGCGCAGGCTGTCGCCCACCTGCACCAGATTGTAGGTGTGCCACATGTCCTCGGGCTCCTCGGGCACCAGGGTCACCTGGCCCGCGTTGTCCTTCTCGATGTCCTTCCTCAGGAGCTTCATGGTCCCGGCGGGGGCTCCGGGCCCCGCGGGGTCCCCACNCCCGGAGTCCCGCCGGGAAGGGGCGGGGCCTGTCCGCGAGGTTCCTACAGGCGCCGGGTGGAGGGAAGGCAGGGCCAGCGCCGCCCCAGGAGCCAGGGGCACCCTCGCTGCAGTCCTACCTTTCCCAGCCTCGGGCGCGCCGCGACCCAAGGGCGCCAGGAACACCTGGCGGGACGCGGTCGGATCCCCGGCTCCCGCCGCAGCACCGACCCGGCGGCTGATGCAATGAGGGCGCATGCGCAGCCGCGTCCCCCGCCCCGCCCCCCGGCGCACGTCTGACGTCGAGCGAGGAGGCGGGGCCTCAGCTGGCGCGTGCGCAGGCGCAGTACGCGGGGAGGCGCTGGGGACCGTAAGCCTCCTAAGCGCGCCGCGCGTCCCGGCCGCGAGTCCTCGGGTCTGTTAGCGCTCCAGCGGCGCTCGCTAAAGTTTCCCTGTCCGTGGAAATGCGCAGGTTTCTCCAAGCTGCGCGCGGCTGCCGCTCTGCGCCTCCTCCCTTCGGGTCAGTTTAATCTCAGCCCTAAACCTAAACGAAAAGAAATTCTCAAAAGTGCTGACTTGACCCCAAAGTTGCGCGAGAGGCTTTGCTTGCGCCTCGCGCGCCCTGGGAGGCTGCGCGCCGGGGGCGCTGCACCGAGGGGACCCCGGTGCACCCGGCCCCTGGGTGCACGGGGCAGGCG